ACAAGGCATGACTAATTTAGTCACAATATAGTTATTAGTTATTTCGATAAATCATGTTCAAATGGGTGCTCAAAAATGAAAATACACTTCATCACTTTTAAAAAATTTTCTAACAGAAATTTATTTCATCAAAACGAAAATCCTTCAACACCTTACTTAACAAAAATCAATGTTCCAATTATAAGTAAAACTCCGTCGTTATGAAAAGCCAAAAAATAATGATAATGATAACAATAATAATAAAATAAAATAAAAATTAAAAATCCTATAACAAGCTACGCTTTGAAAAGTAAATATGTTTACATAACCGATCAATGGAAAAAATATTTCTTTGAATTAAAATTTATTCCACTTAAAAGGAGAGATTTCTACATTATTTGGAAAATACACCATCTAGGGGTCTTGATTGTAATAAAATAGACATGTAGAATAATAAAGTAACTTTGGTTTTCGTTTATGATAACAATTTTTGAAGGTTGGCCTTGAGCATGACTCCATCTCAAAATTTTTATCCGGAGTCGGTTGGATTTTGGTAAGTTGGTCATTGTAGCCAGAGTTGGGCAAAATGAAACTAAGTCAATCATGATTAAGAATTTTAATTAAAGTTTAATCATAATTGAATTAGTCATGAGTAAATTAATCATTATATGATTTAGTCATACCTCATGATTGAATTAATTATGATTAAATATATAATGATTAGTTTACTCATGACTAATTCAGTCATGATTAAACTTCAATCAAAATTCATAATCATGATTGAATTAGTTTGATTTTGCCCAACTCTGATGTACCAACATTTATCTTGTTTCTAACAAATTTTGGGATATTTTTGATTCTCAAACCACTACTGGCAGTTAGTTCCATTGCTTTCAATTTGCTAGGTAGGTAAAATGGGAATAGTCAAGTAACTAATTTTACATTTGTTACACCTAGACAAATAAACTCATTCTTTTTCAAGTAGGGCTATTGAAATGTTTATGTAACATCATACAGTTGCATTTCAAAGGAACTGGTGTCCTTCGAGTCTTAATCAATTATACAAAATCTATCAAGCCTAAAGACTAACTGTTGTATAAACTTATCTCATCAAAATATGGCATATTTGTAATAAAATGTGGGGCATAAACGTAGCTAGTTGCTTATTATTTTTTATGAATCAGATGTGAAAAAATTATAGAAAATGTACTGTAATTAAATATTATGTAAATAGGGAAATCTGTTCTACTGTGTAAATAGGTATAAAACAAATATGTATTTTGGTTGCTTACCCTATGTACAACATATATTAAGTTTTATTTATGTTTCTATTTTATAATAGAGTTTTTATGAATCAGATGTGAACAAAATTATATAAAATGTACTGTTTATGTTACATAAACAGCTTTCAAATTTTGTACATATAATTTATTTTTTAAAATAAATAAATACTGTTAAGGAATATTTAAATAATTTATCGTATTTTTTTAAATGGACCAGTTAAATTTTATGTTTTGTTAGCCATTTTGTTTATACGAGGGTTAAAGGTTAGGCGAATATTTCACGTTTTTCTTATTTATTATAGGGTTTCTTCGAATAAGATTGTTTCCCTTTATTTTAAAAAGGTTCTAGTTTCTATTTTAAATAGTAGTTAATAGTCTATTTTCGTTAAGAAAAATCAGTTTTGATGTCGGCGAGTTTATGGTTGATTGAAAATCAAGTTCATATTCAATTAGCACGTATAGATGGCCGAAAGAATTCTTAAGATCTTTTTATTAATAATCAATCAAAGAGACTATGTTAAGCTTGAAAAACTTATTAAATTACATTTCCCTATATTCAGAAAACAAAATACGATTGAAATTTGAAGTTGAGCAGAATGAGATATTTTAATAATTGTTAAAAAATAATACTTGCTTGAATTATTTTCTTGAAAAAATTGAGAAGGCTCGAAGTACTAGATTCTTATGAGGACAAGAAACTATTTTTATTGAGTGTACTTGTTTCTTTTAAACTTATTTGGCTTAAGAACTAACAACGCGAGGTCGGTTGGTCGAATTCCGAAAATCGCAGGTTATGTATCAACGGAGTAAAATAATGCTCTCTTCAAATCGACCACTATTTTAAAATATATTTTATTTCATTGTCAACAATTGTGAGAAACGATTTTATGAAATTCGAGAAATTGACGGAAAATGCCATTTATCGTTAACAACTGGGTCGTATATTTACAACGATTTGAAATACACTTTGTTTTGCCCGGCATTTTACACGACACTTAAAATATTTCAAGTTCGGGCGATTAAAAAAAAACAAAAAATTTTTAAGTTCCGAAGATCAACCAGTTTTATTATTACTGTTTTTATTTATTTATTTATTTTTTTAACGAGGGGATTTCAATTACGAGGTTATATGAACCCTCGGGGTGCCGGTGTTTTTGAAAAAAAAGCCCATTTGTAAGTATGTCGGGTTGGAATGCAGGGCCGCTGGATTCGAACCCGGGACCTTTACTTCACAGTGATGAGCGCCGTGTCGCCTAACCGTTGCTGTCATCGTCGCCCCTAGTTTTAATTTGTATACAAATTATTTTGCCCATTTCCAACCGCTTAACCCCCTTTTTTTTAAACACCTGCCGCTTTATTCATCTTCTTTGATTCCTTAATTTTACAAGATCCTTGTACGCAGTTTCACCCAATTTTATTTTTAATAGTAAATTGGGCTAGCTTTATGCTGAATAATAACACCCCACTGAAAATTAAATTCACTATATTTAGTACTGTTTGTATGTCTGTGGTGATCCTTGCAAGTTCGTAGTTATCAGAGGTACAGTTGAGAAATTCCAGAAATTTTTCTTATTTTATACATTACCAACTCCACGGTTCATATCTGAGAAATGGTGTGCCTTCAGATTGTGAATTATACCATGAGATTTCTTTATGTTTAGTTGCTGATGATGGGCCAGGAGCCCGAAACATCCATGTAATTTACTAACTTGAATAAAAGTTTCAACCACGGAGATCTTGGAATTTTTCAACCTATCAGTACAGAGATTTTTCGTTAGGCAGCTCTTTCTTTGGCTTCCCTTTCGACTCCTAGTTGTGCATAAAGACGTCTCAAGGGACGGCGGTGGCCGAGTGGTTAGGGCGTCCGACTCATATTGCCACGCTATCTGTCCTGGGACGAATCCCGGCATAGCCAATGGATTTGCAATTACACTCGACTTCAGCCATGGACTTAAACACTAGATGGTAACTGGTAACATGTGCTTGGTCTAAAAGTAAAATAACACACCACTGAATATAACAGAAACTCGTCAGACAGGTCAAAATGGGTCACACGATATGGTGATCATCCGACGGTTTGGGGTGTATTAATATCATGGGGATATATGTGATAGTTGCGGCTCAATAAGATGCCTATCATCCAGAATTTCTCAAAGGACAAGGATCCTAATAACAGAGCTAATAGCACCAAGAAATAGTTGATTGATAATGTGCATCAGCAATTATCCTGACCCTCAGCCATGGACTTAAAGTTAGACGTAACTGGTGACATTTGCTTTATTTAAAAGTAAGATAACATATCACCGAAGATGGCAAAAAAATTGGTCTGATAGGTTGGTCGTCCAGAAAATAAAGTGGTGGTGACCATCTGTTGTTTTGGGGGTGTATTAATATCATAGGGTTATATGGCCATGTTGCGCCTCAACATGATGTCTTGCCAGAATGTGTATTTCTTCCTAAGAAAAGGATCCTAAGCAGCTAATACCTGATTGTTAACTTATGCCAGCAATCACCCACACCCGGAGACCGTGGAGGGTTAGTGGTTATATTATTTTTGTCATGCTAGCGGTTCTGGGTACGAATCCCGGCACAGCCCATGAAATTTTAATTGGAAATATTACGTAAAATGTATTGTAAAGTGGTTTTGACTCCTCGACACCCAACGGGTAGATGGACGTTAAGCCCTACTGTATGACAGAAATTACTTTAATTCCTTTCTACTTTTTTGCTTTTATTTATTAAAGACATCTACGACCTCTCGGGGAGATAAGTTCTGAGAGCTTATGCTAAAAAGTACATATTGTTTAGATTTTTTCTAGGTTGAGTAGTTTTGAGAAAACCAGGGGGACATTAGAAAATAGACACCCTGTGTGTAACTACGGTTTTCAAAATGCTGACATCCTAGTACTAACACACAGATTACAGGCATAGACTGGGAGTTTTTATTTAGTGGTCATGGTGTTGATAAATGAATAACCATTTTTTAAAAAGGGTTGCTACAAGAGCATAGACATCAATGTACCAACTCGTACATTTCATTCCTGGAAAAGAAAATCGATCATAAAACATACAAAATACCCTCATTAGAACGCAATGAAATCTTCTCCATCTTTAGGAAAAACTAAAACATATCGATTAAGCTACATATTGACATTCAGCATAAATTACTAACATCGAAAGCTATTTAGAGTCATATACAAAATGTTTTTGGTCATTCATTAGATTTAAAAAAAGGCACAAACTCTATACTATCAAAACTAACATTTATAAAAGCCGTCCGTTGAAAATCCTCATGATGTACTAACCTGTTCCCAATCTATTTTGGTATGTTAAAGATGAAAAAATAACGGATTATTCCTTATTTAATACTTTAACACTCAGGGGGTCTACCTATCACTTGCATGGATCAAAGTTCCAAGTAACTCGACGTAAGTCCCAAATAACAGACATTTACTGGGAGTGCAGGAGGTGAAGGTTACTGGATTCGGTTATGGAATTCTTTTAAAGAGGAATGAAGTTCCTTGATGTTTTTGAAGGTTACTAAGTCTGGGTTTGCTTTAAAGCACATCTGGACCGCTAGGAATGTCTGTGTATATGGAATAGAGAATGGTAGCAAGGAGGCTGCCTTGCGGAACACCCGCTTCGGTGGCGGTTATGACATAAGGATAACGTTATTTTCCATTTTTTTAAATGAAATTTGTTAGGAATATAGGAAGAAGAAATTAACTTTAACTTCAGTTTATTAATTTCTTTTTACAACAGTTTAAATATTTTACTTCAGTCCATTTATCATTTTAGTATGACCATGCAATACATAAAATATAGTATGTATTTACTTACAAATTGTGCGAACATAAACACTAGGTAGTTTACATCAAAAGGGCCACATCTAATTAAATGATGTGAAAGAAAGACATTATTTGGTCTGAATATTTTTAAATATATATTTTTTGTAATTTTAATGAAGCACAAATTATTTACAGATGCTTCTTTTATTTAAAAATCATTATAAGGCATGTAAAAACAATACATAGAAAAATTATTTTTTGCTTGTTGATGGGGGTAAACCTTGGTTACCTGTGACGGGGGAGAGTGTATCGGCTGATGACGGGAACACGCCTGGTGATTGTGAGGACCGTTCTGTAGGACTGACTCTTTGGCCGTTTTCAGAATCGTTAGTCGGTGTATCGGCTTCTAAACCAAGAACTGGCGAATCGCCCGGTTTGGCGGAGGAACTTACTGGGCAAGAATGTATTCTGGCTCTGCCACCGGTAACATGCACATCGGAACATGTGACGTCTGGAGTCGATGAGAAAGAACCACCGGTCTGTGGATTTTCTTTGAGGCAAATCGAAGACGGTAGTAATATTTTTCTTCTGGTGAATGCATTTAAACGACTCATGGAAGATCCTGCGTTAACACTCGTAGAACTAATCGGTACCGTTCTCACAGGATAGGCACATTCATCGAAGGCGGAAGCCTTACTCACTATTTTACTAGTCGGTATCAAAGACAAATCACATATCCGTGGCTCTTCACCACTCGATTGATAAACAATGTTCCCTGTATTTTTAATACCGTTAGTAGACATCTTTCTTTGCATATTAGTTATAGACATACATCTTCGCCTAGGTAGTGATGATGTGCTTAATCTTCTATGAATTTCTAAAGACCCCGTACTAAAGAGCTCCAGAGGTTTTCTCGTTTTGTGTATGTTTTGATCAAAACTACTTCTTCTTAAGGATATAATATTTGTTCCCTGTGGGGAATCGAAGCTCATTGCTCTCTTACTGCTGGATTTTTTCTTCTCCAGTTCTTCAGCAAGCATTTGAACCTCCCAGTTATAATGGTATTTGTTTCTTAACTCTTCATCTATATCATCATCATCATCGACTATATTACTAACATCGTATTCATTATCGTCATCGATATCTTCAGACTCTGATTCAAACGAAGTTTCAGAAGAGTCGACATCGACAGAAACGTAATCTTTTCTCGGCATGCCGTCTAACGCTTCGACCGAACCGTCTGAATGATCTTCTATCGAGCAATTGTCCGTCGACAGTCGGCTATGTAAATCTGAATCATCTTGATCTGTGTCTTCGTTTAAATTATCTGAGACAGGAAGAATAGTGTCGGCTGAACCAGCTCTCTGTAACAGTTTGTTCGAACGATTGTTATAATAAAATGTTTTAAGATTCTAGATTGTATAACAGGCAAAAAATTAAAACTAATAGCAATACTGTGATCCGAATACAGAAATTCAATACGTTAATATTTGATAACATAAATTAATATGACGACATTTTCACGACATCGATTTTGCGTTACGTGGGTTAGGTTAGGGTTAAGGACGGGTTTATTCTCAACATGCTTCACTATATCGTATTACATGTAATTAAGAATACAATTTTCACTGTTAACTAATACAAATATTTCGTTAAAATAATAAGAAAAATTTAATATTTAAACGGAGTTTAAAAAAGCGAATATTGCCTCCACAAATGCACTAAAATTTGCAAACAGATCTGGCCGGGGTTAGTTTTGTTAGGAAGGTTAGGGTTAGGGACGGGTTAGGTTAGGTTAGGTAGCTTTATTTTTTTAATTCGTTTATTCTCGACATGCTCCAAAATATTGTACTTCATGAAATTAGCATACGATTTTCACAGTTTATTAGTGCAAATATTTAATTCAATATATATTTAAGCAGAGCCTAGAAAAGGCGAATATTTCGAGTTTAAATATTATAGTAGATGATGGGGTTTGGTCTGCGAGTTGGCGAACTCATGTTGAACCGGCACACGGGCACTACTGGGTCGTCTTCACCCGCGAGTGCCGGTTCAACATGAGTTTAAATATTGTTAAGACATCTTTTTCTTGAGTTTAAATCCAATTGAAACTTACCAAAAACGGGTGGTCCCCGTCAAAACTTGTATCCGAATTACCTCTCCCATCATCTTGTAGGTTAGTCTGAAACAGAAATTTCAATGAACATACAAAAACACTGTAATAAAATAAAAATGTATTTTTACTTTAGTTTTAAAGTTATGCAACTTATTCTCATTTCTAGAGTGATTATAATACAAAGTCGGATTGGTTTCAATTCATTTCATTCCAAATGTGTAGTTTTTTTTTGTTTGTTTTTTGTTTTTTGTGTTATGAACTATGCATATTAGCCATGTGACAATTCACATATGTGTGTTCAAATTTGGGGGGGGGGGTTATTGTGAAAAAAGGGCCAGAGGCGACGGTGGGAATCGAACCCACGACCGCGGCGTGAGAGTCTCTCATGCTAACCACTCGGCTACCGCGGTCCCCCCAAATGTGTAATTGTGTAATATTCCTCTCAAACCTTTCCATCCTTCTAAAGATAAACAGTAGAGAAATTCCCAAGTTAGAAAATTCCCTGGACATGACGTTACAATCTCCACTATATTCGAAACCTTCCTTAAAAGGCAGCATTATTACTGACCACAATATACCAAACTTTCCTCTTTCTTGGGAGTTTTCCTTACTCATTCTCATCCTAAAGAACACAAACCTCCCAATCACACATCTTCTTAAAGACATACCTTCTTCTGTCGTTTTTCAAAATCATCGAAAAACATCTTGTAAAACGTTTAATAGACACCCTAGGCATAGAATAATTCCTTTTCACAAATTCAGGCAAAGTCGTTGAAACCACCCCAGCAATAGCTTGGGTACGTTCTTGGATGTGACCCCGGCTGTTGATGGCATCCAGGCAATCCTTACCTTATGTTGGGATCCTATTTAACGGATCATTGCTTCAGTGAGGTGTGGCAACTCAAATATCAGCCCAATACAAGCCAGCGTTTCAGAAGGGGTTATTATTGGTCCCACCATGTATACCATTTACACTACTCACTTTCCTATACATTCAAACACCATCTTTACCACGTACGCGGTTGATACCGCTGTTTTGTCTTGTAACCCGAACCTCTGACATCTAAAACGACCTTCATCTTATCAAATATTGTGATAAAAAGTGAAGGACAAGACTGAATGAGTAAATGTAGGCACATTGTACAAAGCAGTCTTGCCCTCGTTAGTGCACCAACAAAAAAGTGCTATTCCGTTCAAGTCAGATACATAGGAATATACCTAGACAGCAGACTGATGTGAAATCTTCAAAACAAGAGACAACTTAACAGACGACCTAAACAGCTACAGAGTTTTTTAACCAGTAATAAGTAAGTAATCAAGAAATCAGTTTTGACCATCAAAATTTAACTTTATAAAAGACTTTAAATTCACTAATTTCGTGGTCCGCTTGACCAATTAAATCATTACAATTAATTAAGGTTTTTAGTTGAGATGAAAAAAAGTTAATGGCACGAGCGGGATTCGAACCCACGATCTTCGGCTAGATACGCCGCTGCTCTACCACTTGAGCTATCGTGACCTC